GCACTTGCACAAAAAGGAAACTATCTTGACTGCAATACTTTTGATGAGTCAAAGAAAAAAGTCCATTATGTGACTAGTCAAGCTCAAACAAACATCAATGTGTCTTTGACATATCTTGCTATTTGGAAGTAAAAGCACCTTGTCAGGTTGTTTACCTGAAGAACCTGTAGCTCTTAACCTAACTCATTACATACATGTAAATTGGAAAAGTGCTTGAAGGCATGTTAGGATAGAAAATAGAGTTGTTTAAATTGTATTTAATATATGCAAATGAATGTAGAGTGGATGTGCTACGTTTTTCTTCTTTCCCTGCTTAAATCTAAGTCTCCATGATTCATGTTCTATAAATGTTCTACATAACTTTTGGCATCAAAAAATAGAAAAAGAGCACTATTTTATTATAGTATTTCATTATACTGAAATTATTTTGTAATTATTTGATTAAGAAAATTAGTGTTATAAGGGAAAATAAGGATTCAGAACAAACCCAACATATGCCACATTCTTGACATTTAAGAACACAGAAGAGGATTTGTTTGGGGGATTTTTAATTATTTGAGTTCTAACTATATTTTAGATATGAGACCGTCTCTTTATGGCTAGTGAAGATCTTCTCCCAGTCCTTTCTATTGATCTTGCTAGCTAGGTCCTTGATCATGCAGAAGACCTGCAATTCAATGCAATCCCATTTGCCTAACCTTTCTTTGATTTGCTGTGTTTCTACATCTTCATTAAGAAATTTTTGGCCTGTGCCAAGGAGCCCTAGAGTTTCTGCTGTTCCTTCCTCAAAGAAACAACCACTCCATTAATAAGTGGGCTAAAGATTTAAAGAAAGACTTCTCTGAAGAGGAAATAAGAATGGCCAATAGACCCTGGGCGTCAGTGGCTCACAACTGTAATCCTAGCTACTCAAGAGGCTGAGATCTCAGGCGGTTCAAAGCCAGCCCAGTCAGGAAAGTCCGTGAGACTCTTAGCTCCAATAAACCACCAAAAAAACTGGAAGAGGAGCTGTGGCTCACGTGGTAGAGTGCTTGCCTTGAGCTGAAATGCACAGGGACAACACCCAGGCCCAGAGTTCAAGCCCCATGGCCAAAAAAAAGGAATAGCCAATAGACACATGAAGAAATACTCGACATTTCTGGCCATAAAAGGAATGCAAATCAAAACAACATTGACATTCCACTTCCCCCCAGTTAGAATGGCTATAATCAAGAAATCTAATAACAGATGCTGGAGGGGATGTGGCCAAAAAGGAACCTTACTGCACTGTTGGTGGGAATGTAAACTTGTTCAACCACTCTGGAAAGCAGTATGAAGGTTCCTCAAAGAGTTCCCCTATGACCCAGCAATCCCCATTCTGGGCACTTAACATCTCTTTATGTATAATTTTATCATTATTATGTTTTATGCTTTTGGCTTCTTTGTCATTCATTCTTCCTAGTTTAGTTCTTACTTGATTTTTCTCTGTGTATTTCACTTGAAGTTTCAGGAATGGGAACACCAGAATGGTGAGACAAAGGACAAGGCGGAAACAAATGCAACAGTGACCTACACAAGACAATATGTTGGAGATGATCTGTACAACTTGGGGGATGGGGAGTGGAGGGAGGAAAAGTAGAAGAAAAATGAGGGAAGGGGTAACAAGTTTGACAAGAAATGTACTTATTACTTTACTTATGTAACTCTAACCCCCCTGTACATCACCTTGACAATAAAAAAATTATGAAGTTGAAAAGAAAACAAGAAGCACAGGTCTCTCTGACCTCTCTTATTTCTTCCTTTTTCCTTGAAGCAAGTTACAAGATCTTCATTCAAGAGTTAACATCTCTATACCTGAAGACAAAGAACATTAAGTTTCTTCTAGCTTATTAAAATCGGATCATGTCTACCAGAAGTGGATCCCAGCTCTTTAATCTTAACTCATAACTGTCTACTCTTCATGAAACCTAAGCACACAACAGAAGCACACATGATTACCTGCCTGAGTCTTCATTTCTGATGACTCCCATGTGATGTAAAGCTTATGTAAAGCTCTCTTTTGTTGTTGTTGAAATATTTCTTGTCCTTTATAACTATGCACAGTGAGGTTTTGAGTTCTTAATTATATTGTAGAATTGAAACCATATATGTACATACATAAACATTTACACAAACACAAATATTTTCTTTTCTTTTTTAAAATTTTTTATTTTTTTGTGAAAATACCATACAGAGGGGTTACAATTACATGGGCAAGATAATGAGTACATTTCTTATCAAGCATTGTTGCCTCCTCCTTTGTTTCCCCTTCCCATCCCTTCCCAGCTCCCCCCACACACACCTCTCCCCCCCAACCCCCCCTCCCCCGCCAAAGTTGCAAAGTTCGTTTTTCGACATAACCTCAGATTGTGAAGATTTTTTTAATAGATCAGAGTGAACAATGAGAATTCCTGTTGTAGGTTTGTTCAGTGTCCAACTCTTTCTTGAGCTGCATCTCTGACATCTCTGTCTATATTCTTCAGGTGAGTTTGAGGTCATACAGTGTGGATATGATGTAACAATGGCTGCCAGCTCACAGGGAAATGGTCAGAAGTTCAGACTGTAGGTGCAGAGCAGGCAATGATCCTGAGTTAATCTAGACACATCCAAGCCTCAAAGTTCCCAGATTTCCCAAGAAAGAAGTCATAGAGGCCAAAAGCCAGAGTTCACCTCTCCAACTTCCAAGAACTCCACAGGTGAGAGCATTCCTCCCTTCCAGGTGATTTAAATCCCCAGAAAAGATCTTCACTTTGGACCATTCTAATTTAAATGGAAGGCTCTAATGGCCACCAGAAAACAAAGCCATGAGCAGATTAACCAAGAAATTTGAGAATACAGAGCCTTTTTAGAGAACATTTTTTTTATATAAGAATCTGCTTAAGTTAGTCTAGTCAGTGGCAATTTCTCAGGTGTGTATGGATATGTATAAATACTACATATTTAAAACTTTTTGGATCTTCTCCAGATGTTTCAAATACTAACACTGACAGAATTTCCCTTTAAAGGATGCCCTGCAAAGATTCTGTTATTTGTAATTTTAAGTAGAAATTGACAAGGAGCATTTTTTCCCAGCCTAGTGGGAATTAGTTATGTGCATACGTCACAGACTTGGAGCAAACAGAGATTCTATTTTTTTTCTTTTCCTTCAAAGTTAAGAAAGCCACACTTGGGAGGAATCTTTGGATAGCACTGGCTGTGCTTCATTCTACTCCTTTTGGAATTGGCATGCGTGTGTATTAGAGGAAAAACTCCACATACATTCTTTCATGCTGTTTAAATTGCAGGAAGAAGCAGCTTTAAGACAAAGTGAGTTTTCTGTATATGTTTCTTTTGTGTTTTGTCTATGTGGTATTTTAATTTCTTGAATTTTTTAATGATAAGAGATTTTTTTAAATATACTTTTTAGTAACTGCAATTAGAGTCACTGAATTACTGAACTTTATTTGCTGGGCTTTTCAGATTTCTACTTTGTATACCATGCACATACACACAATATTATCCAAATGACTCTAAGTTGCCTTCTGAGTTTTTGTAATGTCTTTTAACGTGGGCAATCCCTGTTATAAAAGGGGACAGGAGAGATTCCAGGTTTTATTTGGTTTCAGTTATTTGAATGAATAACTTTATCACTGAGGGTATTTTATAACTGAACTCATATTTCAGAAGCACACTTTAAAGTCTCTTAGAGATATCTAAGTAAAAGGAGTTAATAGAAAAGTATTGCTATTTCCACGAAAAATCTGCCTACATTCTAAAATAGGCATATATAAATGTATACAGAGATCAACTAAAAGGTCTGTGCACCAACCCACTCAGGTCTAGTGTACATCACCTCAGTCTAAAGTGCTAGATGTTGAAACTGTTATTTAAGCTAAACACTCTGCATCTTATGTGTTCATGTTTCTCACTCTCTTAGTCACACCCTCTTTGGTGTCGGTCATTAATTGGAAAAGCAAATGCAGCTCTTCCGATGTCATTTTCGATTTTTGGAAAGGTGGAAATTACAAACACCATTAATGAAAATGTACTGCTCTTAAGCATACAATGTGAGACTATGCTCAGATCACTTTGGCTCTCACCTCCCATCCACAAGTCCTGTCATGTGTAAAGGCTAGTATTTTTCATTAGCAAAAGTCTATGGATTAAAATTAACATGATCATTATAATCAGGCTGGTGTGTTAACATGTATATCATGAGAGATACCTAAAGCAGATATCATAAATGACTGGGTGGGAAGATATACTTCAATGTAGAGTTTCTACACTTGTTCTTTGGTTCTCACATGGCTATCAGCTGATAATTCTTGAACTGTGCTACTCGAGTGGCAGACTAGTGTTTTAGTGTAATATCACTTCCTGACATTACCTTATAGCTTGTTTTTTCTTTTTATACTCACCAACGTTTTTGAATAAAACTGGGTTCATTTGGGTTTCTTAGCCAGCCCCAGAAGATTTTCTTCTTATACTCTTGAAAACCAGTGTTTGTAAGATTTGAGAGAAGCTTTGCTTTTATTAATGGAGAAAACACGATCTTTTTAGAAGTAATTGAAATAAATGTTGCATTTACAAAGGACATGGCAAATCAGATGTCAATTAAATGAAGTATACATTTCCATGTTCTTATCATTATTTTTCCTTGGTCCTCAGTTTTCTTGGTTACCGCATAGTAACGTAGAAGAGCTGAGAAAAAAGATGGAGAAGAAAAATGCTTCCCCAAAACCTCAAATCCTCTTAAAATGATTGGCATGGGTGTTTATCCACCTCTAAATCAGATTGTCTTAGGACCACAGATTCCCTGAAGAATCTGACAGAACTAATAAACTTTCTTCTCAGAAATCAAATAAACACCAAACTCAATGTTGAGGAAGGACATCAAAGGCATGCCAGTCAAAATAGACTTTTGGGGGGACATCTTCCCACACACCCAAATAATTCATATTTCTCTTATCATTTCAGCCCTGGCCAAAGAGTTCCATCTGGCTGTCCCACGGTATTCTCAAGCTTCTTCATTGCATTGTAATGGTAAGCAGCATTTTCTCTTGTTTTTTTTTTTTTTTTTCCCACGCTGCTTCCTCCTATACAGTGAGTGACACCATGACCCCAGCCAGTGATGCAATTTGAAAACTGAGGATAAACTTCTCTCCCCTCCCCCAGTCCTGGGAACTTGGGGCCTGGGCACTGTCCCTGAGCTTCTTTTGCTCAAAGCTAGCACTCTACCTGTTGAACCACAGTGCCATTTCCAGCTTTTTCTGTGTATGCGGTACTGGGGAATGGAACCCAGGGCTTCATGCGTGCTAGGCAAGCACTCTACCACTAATCCATTCCCAGCCCTGTGGATGAACTTCTACCTCTTCAATCCACTTCCTCTTTCCTCCTCCCACTGCCATCTCCTTTCTGAGTGTCACAGTAACCCCTTGCTGGGACTTGCTGGTATGAATATGCACATGTTCCTCCTAGAGAGTAATCCCAAATCTAGCTCCTGAACCATGAAGGTCATTAATCCACCACAGAGGCATACCAAGTAAGGGCGGTGCTTTGCTGGACAGCTATCTAGTTATTTGGACATGGTATCAAGCACCTTTATGATCACACCTGTGTGTGGAGGGAGGGGGTGATAGTACTAGGGCTTGGGCCTAGGCACTACCCATTAGCTTTTTAGAAGAAGCTGGTATTCTCCACTTGAGCTGTATCTCAATTTCTTGCTTTCTGGTGGTTAGTTTGAAATAAGTTGCACAGACTGGCTTTGCACCATTATCTTCAGCTCTCAGCGTCCTGAGTACCTAAGATTACAGATGTGAGCCAGAAACGCATGGCTGCCACCACTTTTATGGTCCCTTAGGGAAGGCCCTTTGGAGACGTGTTGGGAGCATTTTCTAAGGAAAGGAGAACATATCTGTGGGTGAGTCCTTGATGAGGCCTTTGAGTGGCTCTGGTCACCATGGAGGACATGTTCTTGCTGTAGCCCTGGATGCCAGAACCCCCTAGGCTCCCTATATCACTGTTAGTTCATTGGCCACAGTGAGGAGCAAAGGGTTTAGAATAAGGTGTTTATGGGACAGGCTGGAATTCAAATCACAATATATGTGATCCAACACTTCTGTGAACTCAGAGAAGCATATAGCCTCTGTGTGTCTCATTTACATTTTACATAAAATAAAGGTCTTAATGTTGTACCCCTTTGTTAGGTTTGATATAAGGAATGAATACATTCTATATTAAAATTAGTTGCAGCCATACCTGGTAAAGGGTGTACCTTTTAGTCCCTAATTACTATTGCTACATGTCATAACACTGAATGATTTAGCCTCTATATTTTGCTCCAAATTGGATTTTGCTATTTCTCTCTCACACTCTCTCTCTCTTTCTCTCTCTCTCTCTCTCTCTCTCTCGCTCTCTCTCTCTCTCTCTCACACACACACACACACATCCCTTTTGGACAATACTCACACACACACACACACACACACACACACACACATATCCCTTTTGGTCAATACTGCATGACCTTCAACAAATACCTCTTTTCTACAAGCCTTCTCTAGATACTTTCCTATAAACCACTCTGCAGACAAACATAACTCACTTCAACCACTGTCACCTTTTAGGTTTCAGATGCCACATCCCCTAGATAATCCTGATCCCCCACCTTGCACCCAGTTATGTATTTGGCTCCACTTTTGTGTATTCTTATCATATCACCGCAACCATTAGTGATTATGTGGGCATAATTTGCACTTGAAAAAAACATACAAGCAGCTGACACTAAGCGGTCACACTGTCTAAATTAAGGTTTATGTTTTTTAAAATGACTGACAATGTGTAATTACATTAAAACTACTCATTTGTTCTCTAGAACATTTTTATAATTATACTACCAGAAAAGATTCTAACCCTTGACCAATAATTTTAAAATGTTGAACCATTGCACTCTAACTTTGTTCAATATTGTCCTTTTTATCCAAGTGTGATACACTATGATGTTCAATTTGGAAAATACTAAAAAGTAAAACTCTTTAAAAACTCCATATCCTCAGTCCAGATGTTTTACCTTTTTAACGTGTTTCCTTCTAAATTTGTTTCCTACTTTAAAATGTATACTTATGTATTTGGTATAACTAACTTAATGTTGAGCAAAAAGAATACCAGGAAGTTGGGCTGAAAGTGTGTGGGGCCAGAGAGAGGGGACAAACAAACGGAGAGAGGACAGATAGGTGAATGCAGTCCTAATATTCAATGAATATACGTGAACCTGGAAGCAGGTAAACTGAGGAGTGAAGCTGGGAGAGATGGGGGAGAATGATAAAAGGAGTGTAACATTGATCAAGATGCATTTTATTCAGAAACTGACATGTTAGATTGAAAGCCCTTTGTACAGATAACTAGACCTTTTGCAAAGATAATTAAAAAGAAAAGAAAGAAAAATGTACGCATTTGAGCTGATTATTCTATTTAATATTTTTACATTTAAAGCAATATTATGACCATTCCATACCATGCACATCATGCAAAATACCACTATAAGTGCCTTATGAATGATTTCTAGATTTATTTTTAAATTAATTTAGCAAATTACTCTGTAGTCTTCTAAGGAATATATACAAGTAAATATCAAATCCCAATTTAACTTAAATATACTTTAGCAAACACCAAGTGAAGTACCACTTAAAGCTCAAAATATAATTTGAAACTTGGGATCTAAGGCCAGTAAGTATTTTCAATAAAGAGCTAGGCAGTAAATCCAAAACTACAATAAACTCTAACATAGAGAAAATCAATAGCAAGTTTGAATTCCATAAAGCACTGAAAATATGAATTAGCTGTTGTTCCAATCAAGTAAATAGAATACTTATTATTATGTTTGCTTTTGGTTTTTTGATTGAGCCAAGGAATTTACCAACAATGGTATACATCATTTATTTGCGTGCGTTATTTTCAAACTATAATAACTATCATAATAAAGGAATCTCTTGTGTGTCATAATTTAACATCCTGATTAAGAACAACGTAGGTATCTGTAATTCTCTTTCTTCTTTCTTTCTCATATCAGTATCTGCACACACCCAATACAACAAACAGCTTATAGATGTGCTCATAGGCTGAGTGGCTGCACTGGGCTCACTCAGCCACTCCATGATTGGACAGGGAGAGAATGCAGGCGGGGTTTCAAAGTGCCCCTTTGCCCAGTTATTTATCACTGAACTGACTGGAGTGGAGAGTGAAATCGGTGAGCCAAAGGAGAGAAATCTTATCCTCAGAAAGATTGCTACAAAAGGCAAGCACAACCAAGGGGGAAGCAAAGTTTCCCTCATATGATATTTAATTCAAACAACAACAAAATAAATTCTTAGTCTGTTTTAAATGTAAGTCATCCATGAAAATTGTCAAAATGCCAAGCAAGAGAGATTGTTAGCTGCTGGAATCTGTCACAGATCTGCCTTTCCAGTGGTGGTGTCTTCAATTGACTAAGAAGAAAACAATGGTCTTGAGAGCATTCACAGCAAGGTGTAGCTCTGACATGAACAATAGTTTTGAACATGGCTCTCAGTGATTCAGGCATGGGGGAATACTGCCCTAGGTGTGGTCCCACAAGCAGTTGCATTAGAACCCACTCAAGCTGAGTTCATTCTCCTTCTGTCCATCGCCTACCCAACTAGAGCCTGTCCTCTACTTGTGATACTTCCACTTCTTCTTTGAGCCTCTCTTTTACTCTATCTTCATAGTTCATAGGAGAAGCTCTGCTTAAAGTTAGGAAGAAATGATTCTGAAACTCCCAGTGTGCCTACCCAGCAGCATTTCCACATCTTCCTCCTCTTTTACTTCTGTGGGTGTTTATATGCTCAATATGAACTGGGAACACAACAGTCACCAGGAGTCTAGTTCCTGGCCTGCACTTTTTGTTGTGCAGAAAGATCATTACCTGAAATAATGTGAATGGTAGAGAGTGGGGGCCAGGAAAACACAAGACAGGGTTTAATCCACTAGAAGAGAAGAAATGATGTATGTGTCTGATCATCTCCCATGTCAACGTGCAAACTTTCTATAGGCTGACCCCTAGTCTTAGAGTCATTGTCAAACATGATTGCTGGTCCAGCAATAATACTTGAGAGATTTAACAAAACCCACAGAACTAAAGCACACATGCTCAATGTTGCTTGACAATATTTTAATAAAACAAGACCCACAGACTGTGGGGAGCCAGATAAAGAAGGTCTTCCTTTAATGCTATACTGAAAGCTTGAATTCTCTACATCTCGAAGAATAGTGTGATTCAAAGCCAAGTATCTTGAAGTATCTGGATTAGCTTCTTTATTTATAAAGCAGAATATGAATGAGGATTTTGCTCTGCAGATTTGTCTGTAGTCAAGACAGCTGCACTCATTCAACACATATTTGTATGAGGCTCTGCTGTAGGAGTGGCGGACACAACCCTGAAGTCTGCTTTGTGTGACTCATTGGCACGGGAGAGATGTTTGAGATGAAAAGTAAAAGTAATGCTAAATACCAACCAATATTTGTCAACGAATTCTGTGATCGTTCAGCTTCCAAAGGCTGCTAACAGATTTTCCTCACTTCTCTATATACAGAACTAGCATAAAAACCTGATACCAACATCTTGTGTTTCTAAAGCTGTAAACTTAGAACTGCTGAGTGAAGGCTGGAATTCTTTGGCTATACTAATTTTTCTTTAACAGGTGCTATGGAACAAACATGCCTAAATCTTTTGAGATTGACAGCAGACAAAAATAGAAGCTTGGCCTTAAATATTGGATGGTGCCCAACCACTTTTATAGCCAATAAATTTTGAGCTGTTAAAGGATAGTTTATAATTATTGAGTACTGCCGACACAAAGTACCAAATAGAGGTCTACCTTGTATGTATTAAAATCACATTCTAGTGTGAGGTACAGTATTCTTCATCATAAATACTGAAAACAAATAACTGGATAACATCAACCTCCATCCTGTAGTCCCAACTCAGACACTATTATACAGCACATATACACACCCATAAGTGTGTGTAT